ATATATATATATATATATAGCCAATTTTCAAAACCCTACCCTTCGATGTGAGAGGGAATTCATTATCTTGTATCAGTAATATTTTGTTAGCTGGTAAAAATATTCCCTTTTTCATGAAATGCTTTCACCTTCTGCAGATTTTTGCTTATGCATTAAAGTATTCTTTAGTTTTAGATCACACTATGAACTTAGATATCAGTACAGACCAGGCATTTTTTCTGAAAACCCACTGACCTTATCCCAGTATGACAGTTGTACTGTATCAATATTCAACGATACTTCTAGCACATCAGTATCTAACATTCATGTAAAATTGATGCTTATGGTAGCGCTTGAAGTTACATGAATGTGTCAAGGTACTTCCATCTGTTGAATATGAATAAGCAGCCCGCTGTTCACACAGCTCCAATCCACTTCACATGTAAGGTAAATAGCCCCTAGCCCCCAAGCCACCTTAAAAGACTTGCATCGTATCCCCCTTTTATTTAGGATCTAAATATGTATTCTACCGCTGTGCCTAAAATATCTTCTACAGTACAAAAAAATGACTTCTGTTTTCTGTCTAAATTCTAGACCTTTAATTATGTGCAGTAACCTCCCACTGCGATGGGCAGCAGATGATAAATATTTGATAGAAGTTTAGTCACTTAGCAACAGTGCAAACAATAGTGCCGCTGGAACAGGGGTGGACTGACCATTTGGAAACTCGGGCACTGCCAGAGGGCCCGGGGTCAGTAGGGGGCCCCATGAGATGCCCCTGGTACCTTTTTCATAGGCTTTTTTGAGTTTCGGCAAGGACACAGAGGCCCCATGATCCCCTATTGCCCGGGGGCCCCATGAGTTGTCAGTCCGCCCCTGCGCTGGAATTGATTCTGGAGGACTTGTGATTCTTCTACTGAGAAAATAAAGCATTTTGATGATCTCTAGACACCGCTTATTTTCCATAAACACGTTAGATTTAGGCCTGCATTTATCTTGCAGCGAGAGGCCATTATGCAGGTCCTGCATTCAATCCCACTGACATTACAGCTTAATTATACTACTATCCATCATGATTATAGCTTTTAGCTTCTCCTCCAGATCGCCAGGGAGATTCCCTTGAGTCAGTTTCCTAACTACTCCAGCGCTTGTGCCACGGCTCTGCTAAAAATAACACTTGTTATCTCCTACGTAATACAAATGCTTTTCTGGATTCTTGCAGTGGGGGTCATTTGAAAGAAAAAAAAATACACAGTCTGGCATTGGCTAGCATGTTGGCTAGGGTTTAGCACAGTGGTCTCACTGCAGAATAGCTGGGTCCATCTTCTAGGCACAATAGTTACATGGAATTTGTATATCTCCCTGTGATCGGAATATGCTTATTCCAGGCATTGTTTTAAGTTCCTTTGTAAACTTGGCACTGTTATTTTTTTATGGAAAGAAAGAACACACTAAGTTTTGACCCCCGTGCATATACTCTGTGTGGTATTTGTTTATAAAATACTGTAAATTAAAGAATAACTAGTTTTACTTTTGGATAGAGTGGAGAGGGATTAGAACTTCTGTCCGGTTTTCTATTGCTGTCCCCGTTGGAAAGATCTATTTGTCCATTTTTATCATTATTACTGAGAGTAAAAATAAAAGAAAATCCCTAATTTTGGCTTGTCACAAGAACAGAAATAGTGGGGAACCTTCCTATAGGGACACTATTTCTGGTGTCTCTGGTGACAACAAGGGATTTCCCTCACTCTTGAGGGATTTCCTTTCACTTCTTACTTTGGCTGTGGGACAGGGAGTGAATGGAAGTCTCCCAATGGAAAACAGACTACAGAAAAATTGACAGGAGTTTTAACCCTCCCTTTCTCTATCCAAAATGAAAAAAAAAAATAGTTCTACTTTAAATTAACTTAAGCCAGGGGTGTCAAACTCGTGGTCCTCCAGCTGTTGCGAAACTACAAGTCCCATCATGCCTTTGCCTTTGGAAGTCATGCTTGTAACTGTCAGTCTTGCAGTGCCTCATGGGACTTGTAGTTTGGCAACAGCTAGAGGGCTGCTAGTTTGACACCCGTGCCTTAACCATTACAGTAATGCTGAAAATATTGCTGTCATAATAAACATTTCATGTTCTTATCTTTATTTCTCAAGCAAAGCCCTAGTGAAATATTTCTATGACAACTTACAATTTTAGCACTAGTATAACTTTATTAGTAAAAGAAATATTATGCCAACAAACATTGCCAAAATCTATCACAAACAAACATGTTGCTGCCAACATATATTATTAGAAGGAATGAGCATCAACATTTTTGTACTTCATGTACATGGTTGACCCCAAAAATGGTAACAGTATGCATTTTTTCAGGGACTATATATATGCATGCTTCTGTATATTACTTGTACTGCACTACAGAATATGTCTGTGATATAAAATGCTAATAATTGTGGGTCATATAATGTATACCTCTTAAAGCCCAAAAACACTTTTATGGAAAATGCAAGTATTCTGTAAATAGCTGCTGCTAACTATAGATAAATGTGTTTACGTTTTCTCTCTTTGGCAACTTTTCTTATCGGGTACAGCAAAGAGTACCAGTTCAGGCACAATGATGTAAGAAACAAATACCATTTGAAAAATTCAATGATTTTTTACATTTAAAGATCAGTCCCTGAAAAAATTATATTTACCATTTTTGAATGGTAGTAGGCCCAATTATTCTTTAGCATCTTATACCTTCTAAGAATTCAGCAATACATTTTCCCCGTAAGGGTTTTTGTCATATTGTTTAATGTCTACTGGAGAGTGTAAAGCTGGCTTTACACATTTAGAATGTCATAAAAAAAACTAGTTTTTAGAATGTTGATTATCTAAGAGTTTCCGAGAGGTCAAAAAAATTAAAACAAAACAAGGATGGAAAATGTTTGTCGAATCTAATGGGAATGAACAGACTTCACTGACCTCGCTCCTGGCTGTAGCTCTCTGTAGCATGGTGCCAAAATGTTTCCCCACCCATCCCTGCTCCAGACTTTCCTGGGCAGCGCTGGCTGAAGTGGCAGGTGCTTTGGGTCCCACAACAATGACAGGGCCAACAGCTGCCCCTTTTGCCCTGCGTTAAAGATGGCCCTGCCTACACCAGTGCTCAAAATTTCAAGTCCTGTGCTACTAGCCAGGCCTTAAGAGTTACTGGCCATCAGTTGCCCCACCCAACCCTTACCCTGCCCCACCCCTAATTCCGCCCCTAAACACACCCTTGTAAATTATCTCACGACATGACATGTTAAATGTTTTATGCAGAATTAAGTTACAAAAATAAATATTAACAACTTAACAATATAAACATAAAGCAATGTAAACATTAAAGAAAACTGAGTGCTTTACATTATTAGGGAAACAAAATATTAAGTGTGACTTCTCAAAGTTTATAAGCTTGGAGCATTTTTTAACCCCCCTTCACACACCTCCCACCCCCATGTCCTTTATTCCCTCTTCACACCTACCCCCCACCACAGCCATGTCCTCTACCCCCACACACACACCCTCCTCCGCAAAGCCATGTTCTCTTAGCCCCCTTCACACCCCCTCCCCTAACAGCCATGTCCTCTACCCCCATCACCCTCGACCCAGCCAAGTCCTCTACCCCCACACACACATACATACACACACACACACAGCCAATCACCTTTTATTGTTCTTACTGTGGTAAGCCATGTAAAGATACATTATGATTGGTTGCTATGGGTTACTACATTGTGCACATCATTACTGCCTTAAGTAAATATTTTTAATGTTATATTTAATATAGGATTAAATAGTTTGTTAATAAGGCAGTAATGATCAGTGCCTATAGTAGCCAATCATATTTTATCCTTACTTTATTACAGTCAGATCAATTAAATATGACAGCTGATTGCTGGTATTGGTTATTTTTCTTTCCTTATTCAGTGTTATAATTACAATAAGAAAAAAAATTTAAATAACCAATACAAGCAATCTGCAATCATATTTCATTGATCTGACTGTGATAAAATAAGGGTAAAATATGATTGACTACTATAGGCACTTTAGAACTCATTATTGCCTTGCTAAATAAATATTTTGATGCTATATTAAATATGACAAAAAAAAAATGAAAACTAATAATTTACACATTTAGGATACAGAGACTTACAGCAGAGCACAGCACTGGACAGGGAGTAAGAGCTGGCCAAGTTAACTTTTCCTATTAACAAGCTGGTGATTGGTTGCTAGGCGGTCCGCACAACCAATCACCAGCTAGTTAATAGGAAAAGGAAACTTTGCCAGCTCTCACACAACACCCCATCCCACCCCCCCGCCTCATCTAGTTTTTTGCCGACTTCCGTATACCAGGCCATATGCTAACATAATGACAGAGGACAGAGGCTGGGAGGAGACTCAGCTCCTGTTTAACCCCGCCTGCCGGCAGTGCCTGCCCCCCTATTACAATGCTGCTCCACTCTGGGGACAGAGGCTGGGAGGAGACTTGGCTCCTGTATAACCGCACCTACGGGCGGCGCCCCACCCCCTCTCACAATTCGGCTCCACACTGGGGACAGAGGCTGGGAGGAGACTCGGCTCCTGTGTGTGCCCGCCCCCTACTCACGATGCAGTTCCACACTGCTGAGCGATTCATTTTGTTATGGATTGAAATTCAAACAATATGTACGTTATTCGGAGTTACAGATGTTTGCAAATCTCCGTATCACAATAGTAATGAATTTTAACAAATCTGAAATAAATTCTAACAAAACAACTAATTAATTTGTATTAATTTGTTTTACTTGGCAAGACATGATGCAATAGTTTGGGCCTTTAGTGTTACTAAACCCCAGACCCTACATTCACTATATCTGGTCTCCCACAGTACACACAACATGGAAGTGCAATTATTTTAGTAAATATAAACTGCTAAATACCTTTTCTCATCAGCAGTTAGAGCAGTCTTGTGACTTCTATCAGTGTCCAGCTGAGCACATGTTAAAACGTGTAGGAGGAGTTTTCATTTTGCTCTAGGAGGATGTAGAACCCCTGACCTCTGTCTGGACAGTTCTGATTGGCCCTGTGCTGATCACATGCACTCTCCAAGGAAAAAAAAAAACCTCTACAGGAATACACACCAAACTGAGCATGTGCAGAGTGACTCACATGATATGTCTTTTCAGGAGATACAGTCAGGTCCATAAATATTGGGATGTCGACACAATTCTAACATTTTTGGCTCTATACACCACCACAATGGATTTGAAATGAAACAAATAACTTTAACTGCAGACTGTCAGCTTTAATTTGAGGGTATTTACATCCAAATCAGGTGAACGGTGTAGGAATTACAACAGTTTGCATATGTGCCTCCCACTTGTTAAGGGACCAAAAGTAATGGGACAATTGGCTTCTCAGCTGTTCCATGGCCATGTGTGTGTTATTCCCTCATTATCCCAATTACAACGCGCAGATAAAAGGTCTATTTCAAGTGTGCTATTTGCATTTGGAATCTGTTGCTGTCAACTCTCTCAAGATGAGATCCAAAGAGCTGTCACGATCAGTGAAGCAAGCCATCATTAGGCTGAAAAAACAAAACAAACCCATCAGAGAGATAGCAAAAACATTAGGCGTGGCCAAAACAACTGTTTGGAACATTCTTAAAAAGAAGGAATGCACCGGTGAGCTCAGCAACACCAAAAGACCCGGAAGACCACAGAAAACAACTGTGGTGGATGACCAAAGAATTCTTTCCCTGGTGAAGAAAACACCCTTCACAACAGTTGGCCAGATCAAGAACACTCTCCAGGAGGTAGGTGTATGTGTGTCAAAGTCAACAATCAAGAGAAGACTTCACCAGAGTGAATACAGAGGGTTCACCACAAGATGTACACCATTGGTGAGCCTCAAAAACAGGAAGGCCAGATTAGAGCTTGCCAAACGACATCTAAAAAAGCCTTCACAGTTCTGGAACAACATCCTATGGACAGATGAGACCAAGATCAACTTGTACCAGAGTGATGGGAAGAGAAGAGTATGGAGAAGGAAAGGAACTGCTCATGATCCTAAGCATACCACCTCATCAGTGAAGCATGGTGGTGGTAGTGTCATGGCGTGGGCATGTATGGCTGCCAATGGAAATGGTTCTGTTGTATTTATTGATGATGTGACTGATGACAAAAGCAGCAGGGTGAATTCTGAAGTGTTCCGGGCAATGTTATCTGCTCATAGTCAGCCAACTGTTTCAGAACTTTTTTAAGGGAAAGAAGTGGAATGTTATGCAATGCCCAAGTCAATCACCTGACCTGAATCCGATTGAGCATGCATTTCACTTGCTGAAGACAAGAACAAGCAGGAACTGAAGACAGTTGCAGTAGAGGCCTGGCAGAGCATCACCAGGGATGAAACCCAGCGTCTGGTGATGTCTATGCATTCCAGACTTCAGGCTGTAATTGACTGCAAAGGATTTGCAACCAAGTATTAAAAAGTGAAAGTTTGTTTTATGATTATTATTCTGTCCCATTACTTTTGGTCCCTTAAGAAGTGGGAGGCACATATGCAAACTGTTGTAATTCCTACACCGTTCACCTGATTTAGATGTAAATACCCTCAAATTAAAGCTGACAGTCTGCAGTTAAAGCACATCTTGTTCGTTTCATTTAAAATCCATTGTGGTGGTGTATAGAGCCAAAAATGTTAGAATTGTGTCGATGTCCCAATATTTATGGACCTGATTGTAGGAGGGGGACACTGGAAGAAAGGGAGGATCAGAGAAGTGAGGATCAAACAGCGGTTTTACACAATGCACAGGACTAACCCCTTCGGTTCCACAGTGAGTATAACAAGCATACTTTACTGCATATACAGACTGATTTTACTATTGTGTGTTTAACCACCTCTCGTCAATCCGGTTGGGCGTTGTATGAGGTCCTTCCCAGATCGTGTCTTGCACGTGCCCGCAGGGCCATGCTGTGGCGACATCTGTCACCAGCTGTGTACCTCGGACACAGCCGATGACAGATCTGTGTACCGGCCCGTTGCCAGTACAATGTGACCTGCTATGACCAATCACAGCAGGTCACATGACAGCTGTAAACAATGGATGGCTTCCTTTCATGCCATCCATTTTATACAATTGTATCACTAGCTGTGATTGCTCACAGTGATCACATACACAGACTGGGCCAATCACAGCCTATCTGTGTCATGTAATTAGCCGTGGTCAATCACAGCTAATCACAACAAAAAAACCTGAATTAATCGATTTCATTCAGTTAAATGCTTGCTTATAGCAAACATATTTCAATAAACAGTAAGGTATAAATGTGAAATAGGATGATGATTCCTACTTGGGTTGGATGAAGATGGATCCATCAGAATCTCTGTATCGTAACATATTGAATGATTCCGAAATTCATCCATTCTTTCTTTTGAATACTGTCCAATCTGCTCATTCCATTTCTTATTGTAATGAATGAACATAACAAATTAATCTGAAATTAATTTTGTTTCATTTGTATTTTCGGATATTGTCCAATCAGCTCATTCCATTTCTCTTCGTTGGTTGGTCTAGCCGAATCCGAATATACGAAACTAATCCAAATATACAACAAAAATCTGAATATGCAAAACAAATTCTGAAAATTAATCATTCTAGCATAATGAATATGATGAAATGGAATGATTAATTTAACAAATGAATTAAAAACGAAACAAAACACATTTTTTTGTTGCGTACAGTTCTAGTAGCTGGCATGTATTGTTTTGGCGAAACTAAAATGTATGCCCTCTTTGAACCCTTGATTAAAACCACCCTTTTTACGATTTTTATTTGCAAATAGAAATCATGTCACATGTACCTGTAGCAGCATAAACTCCGCGCAAACTATGTTCTGTCACATGCTTTCCACTGCTGTAATACTTGCTTTCTGAATAACTCCTGTCAAAATTTCTTAGATTTCATTTTCACAGGTTGTGAGTCTTTTTATACAAGGTTACAAAACAGTGCCCTGGTTTTTTTTTTTTTTTTAAACAATATATTTGTATTTTGAATGTTGACTTTTTTTGGTCTGTGCAGAGGTACCTATTGTGAACAATTTGAGCAAACACCATTATTTCACTTGTGCTCAGTGTGACGGTCGCGGCGTCAGACCCCCAGCCCTTCTCACCAACTCGTGACCGAAGGACTAGCCAATCTAAAACCGTGCTGTCACGTGCGTAACAATGCCACGCTCAGCTGCACCCTGCACAAAGATTTTCCAGCTAATGGACCACAATCTATGTATCTGCAGCCTGAGAGCGATTGTTACGGGGTCAGGGTAATTACGCAATTAACCCTTCACACTGCCACCACCGCCTTTTTGTAGAGAAAAGTAGGAAACTCTGCAATATTAGCAATAACACTATGAAGTTTGAATAATCGTCTGTATACCACTGTCACCGCAGGCAGAGGTATACAGAGGTTTAAAAACACACAGTAGTGCTCTTCAGAGACAGGGATTCTTAGTTTGCATTAAAGAGCTTAAGGAACAGTTCAACACTTTTCAGAAAATAAGATTTATTACTAAAAAGGTCAAAATGGTGCAACAAAAGTATTTACAGAAAACGATGTAGCCAATATATATATATAAATACAGAAAAAGATGTAGCCAATGTGTATATATATATATATATATATATATATATATATATATATATAAATACAGAGAGCAATAACACAACAGGGAGATAACAGAAAGAAAGTTGAGCGGTAGAATACTTGCCGTCAGCCTTGGCTTAAGCAGATCAAGTTTCCTGAGCAAAAGGGTGCCTTTTCTCCCAAATTGGTTCCTGGTGTTAAAAGGGAGAATTCTTCAATTTATTGCTCCAAGCATAACATCCTTTTTCTAGGAACTCAGCAGGGTGTCTCCTTAAAGCAGAGAACCAATCGCCTCATTTGGGGAGGGGTGTTTTTAGGCGGAGAACTCAGGCTATGACCAAATCCCTCGCAAGTTATACCATGGTCAATAACCTTCCCTAGGTACATGCAGCAGCCTAGCCACTAGTAGATTAATATGCAGAACGATATTCTGAACGTTCAGACATTAAACATGCCATATTTCACTATTTCAGCTAGAACTATATGGCTTTCTGCTCTCCTGTAGACTTCAACTAGGGGTGCAAGATATCAGGCGACTCACATTAAACTGAGCTATCCGAATATAAGCTTGGTTTTCTGGTAATTATTTCCTATCTTAAGATATGAAATTATATGGGAAAGTGGGTTTTAAATGTGATGTCTGTTTTACGGCTATCTCGGAATGCGTTTGAAGTCCAGTGAAGGACTGGTTTATGGCTTTACGACTATTTCAGATTGAGAAGCTAACAGACACCCGGGCACCAGATAATTTGGGATTTATAACCATGAAGCTGTCCCGCTGTGCCTGATGTCGGTACACTTCTGAACCCAGCACACAGGGACCACGTGTCACTCAACAGAGAGGGAGGGGCGATTGGAGGGAGAGAGATACAAGACAGAGGATCCTTAGCAAGATGGATAAACGTGTCCATCTCTGTGTGCACAATTGTTACACTCAGCAGCACTGTTATAATAAGTGCTTTAGTATATTGTTGTACCTGCCATATTTCAATGTGTTTATTCATTGGGTGAGATACAGTATATAGTCAGCATCCATCTCTCTGACATCCCATAGAAAAAAAAACTTTTAAAACATTACAGATAGTAGGACTTCACTGAATGGGTTTATTCGAATACCTTTGTACATAGCATACTTTTAAGGTCAAAAGTATAGCAGACATATAGTAGACTTGATGATAAACTCAAATAATATTACTTATTTTTTTAGGTATTTCTGTCTACAATCAGCCCCTTCCTGGAACTGTGGCTCAATCTGCTATGTAAGAAATCACTTTTAAAGGCAAATTTGTCTTTATTATTTTGCATACATTTAACAGACAGAGCATGATAAGTATAAAGAACATGTACAAGTAAGTAAACAGAAAAACATCACAGATGTGGCTATGATCCATGTGGATGTATGAAAATGATGCAGTAAAACTGCAAGAGGGAAGGATCAATAACCCATATTACAGAGGTATAACATAATATAGTATCAGGGGGGTATCCCTGGGCGAGATGTATGGAAAAATATGAGAGAACTCTGTACAACCAAAAATGTAAACCTAAAATTAGAAAGAGATGGGAGAAAGAAAGAAGCCAGTGGAAAAAAAAGGAAAAAAGCCAGTGGAAAGGATATCGAAGGAGGAGAAGAGAGAGAAGAGAGGGGATTGGGAGATGGGGATGGCAGAAAGCAGCAGTAGGGTGGCTCCCTATCTGAATCTCACCTAAGTGACCCCGCCGCCCACATCTCAGCACGGACTGCAGGGTCCAATCGGCGGATAAGCCAAAATGAAAATGAGTCGGGGGAGCAAGGCTCAACTCCACTAGAGCGCAACAGGGGAACACATATCTCGGAGAGTTGCAGAGGAGGAGAAATGGAGCCAGACCGACCACAGCAACTTATGTTTATCATAGGGATCATTGGTAAATGCCAGAATTTCCTCCATACACATGGTATCAATAAGCACGGAGACCCACATCGGGAATGGAGGGGGAGTGGCCGTTTTCCAAAAGATGGGTATCAATTGGCGGGCCGCAGACAGAAAGAAGCGCAACAGACTGTTCTTCTGTGCTGCCTGGTAATATAGATAGAAGAGCACTTTCCGGGCGAAGGGGCCAAGGACTCACCGTAGATCCGGTTATATACAGCAAAGACTTGTCGCCAGAAGGGTTGTATTTGATCACAATCCCACCAAATGTGGAGCTGTGTACCAACAGCTCTATTACAGCGCCAACAAAGATCAGGTGTAGAGGGAAAAATTTTGTGTAGGGAAAGGAGATCACTGCACCATCGAGAAAGAAGCTTAAAATTATTTTCTTGTGAGTAGCAAGAAATAGACGATTTATGAGTAAAGTGGAACGACGTGGACCAATCCTCCGCCGGAATGTCCTTACCTAGGTCTCGAGCCCACGCCTTAGTGTAGGGAGGGAGTTCAGAGTGAAGAGCATTGTGGAGCACTTTATAGAGAGAAGCTAGGACATGTCTCAGTGGTTCAGAGAGGGAGCACAGACGTTCAATCTCAGAAAGTGGGCAATGAATGTTGGAGGAAGAGTGCAAGTGCTTGTAAAATGAGGATAGGTGTAGAGTGGTCAACCAATCCCTAGACCACCCTGAAGGAGCGGAAGACCTGATTGGGTGAGATAAAGTCCCGAGCTAAGGGCCAGGATGCGTGTGTAAAGGGTCCAATAATAGAAGAGCCCAACCCCTGAGGAAGAGTGGGGTTATCGAAGGTTCGCCAGTACATGGGGAGGTAAAGAAATATTGAGGGCCTCCATTTTAGAGATATTAAGTTTAAAGTTACTGAAGGAACCAAATCTACGAAATTCGTGGAAAAGGCTAGGCAGGGAAATAAGTGGCTGCTGAATGTAAACTAGAAGGTCGTCGGCGTATAAGGATAATTTGTGGTGTGCGGAGAGAGTGTGGATGCCCAAGATTGAGTTGTTAGCTCGTATGGCTCTCGCAAGATGTTCCATTACTAAAACAAACAGAAGGGGCAAGAGGGGACATCCTTGTCTGGTCCCATTCGATATAGGAAAGGGCGAAGAAACTGTACCGTTGACCAGGACAGACGCCGAAGGATGAGAGTAGAGGGACATAATCCGAGCAAGGAACCGCGAACCCACACCAATCTTTATTATTCTACAGTATTTATATAGCGCCAAAAGGTTTGCTCAGCGCTTTACATTATAGTGGGGGATACTACATGAGACAGTACAGTAACAAAACAATACACGAGGGGTTCGAGGGCCCTGCTTTTTCGAGCTTACAA